CCCCCTTGAACACGCTTCCAAGGCCGTTCAGGTGCAGCAGCTACGCATACTCACTGTGCCTGCCACTGTCTACACGCATGCGTGCCACAAGTATAAATATACAGCATATACATATATAAACATATGTTTATTACATGGATACATACTAGCATACGAACTTGTATATGCATATAGCCGCATAAAGACAAATGTACGCCAGCTAGCTTGCCAATTACGCGCTTTTTGCCACAGGCAACGATGGATGCCAATACACCATTTACCAACAACAATTTGTTGCATTGATTGTTTTTGATTTGAAATTTGCTAAATATTAGACGCTGGCTTCATAAATGCACCGAAGACATGCAATTTGTTGCTCTGCTTGGAAAATGTGTGAAAGCGCCAATCGTCGACCACTTTTGTTGTACATATTTCAAGTGCTCGCATGTTGCTTTTGTTGGCAGCTAGGCAAATGTGTTAGATCAGTTGTCAAGACCGCAAGCCAAGCCCACCGTTGCCGCCTCTAGCTAGCTGCCCAAACCGCACGCATGAAAGCTAATTTGTTTTACGAAAGAAAAACCTAAAAAAAAACCTAAGCAGAAACAACATAGCTTAGGACCACCAGCTGTGGACCACATACCACACGCTTGGTGACAGCGAGAAAGATTACAACACGTCGCGATTTTATTGCACAGCCCAATCATTAAAGGTGACACGCTGCTTATCTAACAGAGACCACGGCATGAAAGCGTAGCCCCAGAGAGCTTTATGAGACTCGCTTAAACTTTACGAGTTTGTGACACAGCTGGGGTTTTTTACGTCCCCCTAAAACTAGTTGGTACCCAGTAAAAATTATGAGGTGTCCCTAATCTGCACCAATTTCAGATCATCTGAGACAGGGATGTTCATGAAAGCTTTTCGCGGTAGCTGGGGATGTAAAACAGTAAACAAATTAAAAATCGAAGAAATTAGCTAGGAAAACTCAAGAATTCAAGGCCTACTCATACAAAAGCTGCAAATTTTGCTAACCAACTCGTACAGCAGAAACCTTTTTGAATCTGTTTTAAAGAACTGACCGGAACGGGCCTCGCTGATCTACATTGGTCTATGAAAAAGTGACTGCCAAAAATTATTTTCTACGTCTCGCTCAGCTAGAAAGCTTGCTTTAATAGACCATCTAAAAGGTTAATCAGTGTTCTTGGGTGTTTGCCAGTGACCAGTATGACAATTACACCTGCACGGCCTACTCCCTTTCCGCCACGGCTTTCTTTTTCGTAAAGTAAGCTGTCAACAACGATATTCCATAGTATTGGTGGCAGAACTCTTACTGCAAAACTCTCAGCTAAGAGTTTTATTTCCTCTTTTGGTGAAAATAATTACAAGTTCCCAAATTACTGGAGAAATGAGGCAACTGCTTCTGACAAATGTTGTTGAAGGTCCGTATCTACGTCTCCAATATGTGCTCTAGTGACTCCAGTAAGAAGGACGAGACGTTTATTATTCTAAAATGGTATTTTGTGCGAGTTCATTAGTTATCGGAACATCCAAGGGCAGCCAGCTTGCATGGGCAGATAGCCGTGACCAACGCGACTTTTCGAGACGATCTTGAGTAGACGGCTCATCTCCGATGTACAAGTGGAAGCGATAAAAAAATCAACAAATTCCCCATGGTTTCATATAAGCTCCTGGCATCAAAAGTATCCCTTTCGTGTTCATTCTACAATCTTAATTTCATTAATGGCTAGGACAACGTTCGCGCAAGCCTACAGTGCAAATTGTAAATTATATTAAAGTCACCCTTCCCACTTTAGCTGGCATTGAGAAATATAAATATTTAAGCCGAAAAATCCCATTTATGAAAATATATGTGTGTATACTACGTTTGCCAATACGTACTCTTAATTATACCAGAAAATGGTCTACGAGAAAGAACTCAGCTTCAACTGTAGCCTCAGTTACGAAAAAAAAAAGATAACGCTTAATTCTTTAGTAAATATGTTTCATTTCGTTTACCTTTGTGACGTTAATTGCACTGGCGTCGTCACTTTCACGCGCTTTCGACTGTGGCGTCTTCGTCGACTTATTTGGCGAGCGGGGAGGCAATAGACCTCTTCTGGCCTCCGACTGCTGCGTTTGTTTATGTTTCTTTTGAGTTTTATTTGTTGAAGGAACACCGTGTTTAGCGCGGCAACGAACCGAATACGGCAGTTCAAGCTGAAAGAGAGAAAACAAATTGAAAACTTTAAATCCTCCAGTTCATACATACACATACATATGTAAGTAAACACATACAACTGTATACGGGTAGATACTACTCAATGCAATTTAAAGATGTATGTATGATTTTAGTTAGAAGGTCTGTATGTTTGGCGGTACATAAAGGCAGTATGGATCATGTAACTTGAAGGGATTGCCTTTGGCGTTCTGTCATCTGCAGTGTCACTTTTACACCCTATACCAAAATGATCGGGGCGACGAGCTGAGTCCATTTATCCATACCCATCATTCTTTTTGAATTCAAACTATTTAGTTCCACAGATTTAGAGATATCCGAACGAAACCAGGTACACGGACATCTTTTTAACCATTTGTCAAAATCGACTAGATCGGGCTATTATTAACCCCTAGTAGTGCGCATGGTAATGCAGAATCGAACCAGTCGGAAAAGGGGCGTGCATAAATCACGCAAATAACTCCTGGTAGTGCAGAGAGAGTCGATGGCGACTACCGCCTGGGACATTTCGTTGTAAACTTAATCGCTGAAATACACGGCAAGTATTTCGTCAGTCCTGTAGTCGCTCCCCCGCACTGCAGGGATGTGCTCAGAGAGCGCCTAGTGAGCTATGGCCTGCCGACCACTGGTATACATAGATCGTTATTTTCTAACTTGAACAATTACGTATTTTTTTGATGCATAAGAAGCCCATAACCAATTGATGAGTATTAATTCTGTGACCTGCGCCTAATTCGTCGGCTAGCAAATTAGTTAAAGATTTCTGTATGTATTTGTTAAGTAGACTCAAACGACTTGATCACTATCAATCCATCGTCTTGAAATTCAAATTAGAAATAAATTCGATATGTCCGTAATGTAAAAGAACAAAAAATACCTATGCCATGTACATATATATGTTTAGACTATAAAATGTTTACAAGTCAGTCACCTTTTGTCCATTTCCATTGGAAATATCGAATTGCTCGCAATGCTGTGGTTGCAGCAATGGCCATTGTTGTTGCCTTTGGTGCATCATAACGGCAGCATACTGCTGATTATTATTGGCGTTAGAGTTGGCACTGTTGTCCTTGTTTCTGTTGTTGTTGTTGTGGTTGTTGTTGCTTTTGCAATTATCAACATCATTATTATTATTATGATTTGTGTTGTTATTATGGGAATTGTTGGTGGTTACACCACCACCACCGCTGGTTGCACGCGCCTCCGTCATTTGTTCGGATTTGTTACAGTTGCCATCGATTTGCAATTCCATCTCCGTGCGATGCAAGCGTTGGAAATGCATTTGTGTGATTTGCGTAGTGTTGGTGGCCGACGTTGTCTCGGTGAGCAAATCGTTGGAGGAGCAGCTGCTACTTCTGGTGCTGTAGCTGCTGCTGCTGCCACTGCCGCAACTGATGACGCCGCTTTTGGCCACAAACTGTTGTGCTGCAGACGACGCTGTTGCTAGTTTTGTTGTTGGTTGTGCAGCAGCAGTAAGCTGAATTTCGGCGTGTGCGCGTTGTGTGCCACCTTGCGACGATGACGATGAGTTGATATCTGAAACTTGAGGGACGATGAGTGCGGCCGCAACTAGTGTTGCGGCGCGGGCTTCCTTGTTCTCCTTATCCGAGTCGTCACTGACAATGGCAATGGTCCTCGCGGTGGTTGTCGTTACTGCTGTGCTGGATGACACGGCCGACGACTGGACTCCATCGATGACTATGCAGGTTATGCTGTTGCTGTTGCTGCTGTTGTTTTTGTCGCCGTTTGCTTCAGTGGCCCATTCGCCAGTCACCTCGTTGCTTTGCGGCGGCGGTAAGACGGACGAATACAACCAGCCGCCGTCGTCATCAGATGATGCGTCAGCGGATTTCAGCAAGTGATGCTAAATGAGTTGAAAGAGCGAGATGAGCAAAGCAAAATAAATATACGTAAATATGTAAATACATACATACATATGTAGTATATATGTATGTAAGTATGTTTATAAGCAAACGATGCGCCATAACCACTAAGCACACCGAAAGTGCATTCGAAAGAAAAAAGGCGATAAACAGAAAATGCAAAAGTAATAAATAAATAAAGGCGCAAACATATTTACATACCTACATCCATAGGTACATTTGTAGTAGTATGTACAACGTGTTTGAATGTTTAAGAGTGCAATAAATTGCATGCAAGTAACCAGCTGTTGGACCAAGTTGGACCACGAAAAGAGCAATGAAATACATGCAGAAATGCATATGTACATATACTCCAAACATACATACACATAATTAGCATTTCTTAGCAAATTGCACTCGGACAAAGACATTCAATCGTTAGTAGGTATTCTGGCGCGGATAAATTGTCTGCGGCGAAATCTCACATTTTCATCTCAAAATGTCAGCGCTCATTTCGCATGCATGCCGTCCGTCCGTCATGATCTCCATGACAAATACTCCATTTATGAGTTATGTACGTATATATATGTATGTATGTATGTATGTATGTATGTATGTATAAACAAACATTCCCTGCTACTGTGTCATTGCTTTCAAGGCATCAACGCTGCTCAAGTCCAAGTAAAACCAAGTAATTAGTCAGAAGTGATTGCAATGTTGAAATCTACAAACTCCGTTTTCGAACGTGAAAATATTCAATCGGACAGACATGATTATAATGGCTTTCACTTTCATATTTCAATGAGATATGTATGTATGTGCATTTTTTCTGCGGTCATGCTCAACAATGGAGGGGGGTTAGCGAGGAAATATGGAGTGAAATTTGATATCTTCATATGTACATACAAACGTACGTAAGTAGTGCAGTAAAACATATGTATGTATAAGTAGCTTGCATTCACACAAACATACATATGTATGTACATACATATTTATTTATGTGAAATTACTAGTTGCTTGTTCAGGGGAGGGATAATTTTGATTCGAAATCGATAAAAATTTACATAGGGCGCCGCAGATTTTTTTTGCGAAATTCGATATACTTCTTCTTTTTATTCTAAATAACATACATATCGAGCTATAGCTCTTTATATTACAAGCACCATATAGCACGTAAATCAAACTTTGCACTACATAAAATTAAAAAATCAAAACCAAGTTCTCAAACTTTTTAATAAAAATTTTTAAAATAATTTTTGGTAAGGAAGTTTAAAGTTGCTAAAAAAAACCCGTTGATTTTTGATAATTTTTTTTTGCTACCTCTGTTATGCCTTTCTTCCGTGCAAAGTATGTTTGACAACTTTTTATATGGAAGAAAATGTTCTCCTATGGCAGAAAACGCCCACAACGAAGTTATACAGCATTTGCCACCGATTTTGACTGATCATCAAAGCCAACAGATTTCTGTATATTTTCAAGTACATATGGATAACACACAACACAATCTACAAGAATAGTTTGAAGAGAAAACAGCGAAGGTAACAAAATATATTATAAAAAACAAACTGCAGGTTCGATTAACTTTGCGGACGTTACTCTCTTTGTCGGTGGGAAAATGCATTTTTTTGACTGATATTGTTGTATTTTATTAAAAGCTATTCAGAGCTTTGTTTCAAGAAGTAAATAATAACTGTGGAAACAATTATGAAATTAATTGGAGCTAGGTCCTATGTATTGATTTACGTCCTCATTTTTGTTTTTTTTTTTAGTTTATCGCAGTTTAGATTTTGGTGTGCGATATGTATATTGTACTATGCTGTTGTCGACACATGCGAGAATTTTAATTGCATGCATTTTTTCCGTTTTTGGGTTTACTGTTTTTCAGAGCCGTATATTCACATTTATAAATCAGATATTCGAATATCCGGATTATCCGGATACTCAAAAAATTCGGATAGAACTCCCAGCGCTAGTTGCAACCCACCAACATTAATATCATGGTACGCCAAAGGATAGTTCCTCCAGCAAACCTGGAATAAATCGGGAGGCCTGCAGCGCATAAACCGAGCGACCCTGGTCACCTTACCGATCAGGCATGAGCACGAAGACTTCGTGGGGCTGTGTGTCCTCTTGCAGCACGGTCGAAATTAATAGTTTTGGATTTCGAAATCGAGTCCCGCACGACTATAAACAAATTTGACACATGCAATGTTAAATATTTTAGCTTTTCACACTCACCATTGCTAAAAAAAAACAATGCCGGCTAGTCAACATGCATTGCATACTTGTGAATTGTATATTAAACCCCGAACTCAACAGATATAAAGGCCCTCGTTGTTTATGGAAATCATACGAGTAAATAATGCAATCACTTCAAGAATTATTTTGTAATGAATTCATCCTCAATTAATCTATATGAGAGTTTTAGGCTAATTAGTTTGGTGACATGCGCTTAATTATAATAAAATAATAAATGCATCGCACTCCACATATACAGATGCAGCAATACACACATACATACATACACACATATATACGATATAAAAATAATAAATGCAAAATAGACACACTAATTTATATGTACATAAAGTCAAGTCTGAAGAAGTTCAACAAATACTATATGTATGTATGTATATCTTAACGGTGACATACATTACTTGAAAATTAGCACAGCATTTATGGTGCATAAATAGTAAGTGCAGTGGCACAGAATGAAAGCGTTAGTATACCCTTCAGCACCGAACACCAACTTCACCAACACTTCAACACACTTTGTGCACATTGCCGCCCGGAATCAGTATGACTCAATACCATTACCATAATTACATACTCGTTGTTCCTGATGGTACTTACTTCGCTTGTCTGTGAAGTCGAAGACGACAAGTCCCGACCGTCGGGCTGGCCCCCACTTGCATCGGCATCGGCGGCGTCGCCAAAGCTGCTACAGTTCGTCTCGTTGTCGGTGTCCAGGTGTTTGAAGTAGAAAACGGCACAATTTTTCGACTTACGATTAGATCGATTAAACTTGGAGATGTCGGTGTGGTGTTGCTGCTGCCGTTTGCGCAACACGGTCGGCGATTTATTGTTGTGACTGTTGTTGGGTGAAATGACGGCGATGCTCTTTTGCTTGATCGGTGCGCC